GTAGTGGGTTTAGGGTTTAGGGGTCATGCTAGCCTTTGAAGTCTTAGCTGTTTGGTATACCAGATAGACAAACAAACAAATAGGTAAGTAGATAGGTAGGTAGAGAAACAGAGACATAGGTAGGTAGATAGATAGATATAGATAGATAGATAGACAGATAGGTAGACAGTTAGATAGCTAGTTAGATAGCTAGATAGATAGATAAATACTCGGCCCCCTCAAGGTTTGTGACGTTGTGAAGCTTCCGCTCTCCTGGACCCAGGGCTTTGGAAGATGGTTTGTTCGCTCCCCAGCTTAGGACATTGGCTTTCTAGATGGCCCTTGGACGCATGGTAAGACTATGTATCCTAAAAACCCAACGAGCTCTCTCTATATGCTCCTTATACCCATATTAAATATGTGTATCTGAAAATGATCTATCAACTCATAGCAATAGTATGTAATTATCTGATAAGCCCATGGAGCTACATTCTAACAAGGGCAACATGCGAAAACGACATGCCGAGGAAACTGTTGAGTTCAGGGCTTGTAGGGTTTAGGGTTGTAGGCTTGGAGACTTTGATAGACTTTCTTGACCCCAACGTAGGTACTAGTTGTATCCTTCGAGTCTTAGGGGTAGTCGGTCATAGGCATCTTGCTCATGACGTTCAGCGTAACGCTGTGACCAAGTTTGAGCCATGTATCTTCACGCCACTTGGTCGATCCCGACCGACATATACACACACACCCTTAGAGTTTAGGGCTGCAGGGTTTTAGGGTTTAGGCTTTAAGTCGAATTTGTTGGGTCTGACCCTTTAGCTTTTGCATCTGACCCTCTGGTTTTAAAGGCCATGTCCCTACCAGCGGGAGAAAAAACCCAAACACCTTAAACCTGGAAACCTTAAGCCCTAAAGACGTTCTTTAGACTTGCGAAAGAAGCATCACTTGAACGTTATTTCCCTATCTTCAAAAACTCTATTCAATAAGGGTAAAAGGAAAACAGTGTTGGATCTCGAACTGCCCTTCAAACTTGTAAGAGGTCCCATAAACCACACAACTTTGACACTATACTTTCGCTACCCTTTGACCTCGAAGCCCAACAAAACCCAAACCACGACAAGCGCTACACCCCGACCCCCCAAACCCCTAAAGCGCCAAG